CTTGATGTGCCTTCTTTGTTAAGGCCCGCGTGTACAAATGTGAAAGTTGCCGCAGTTTAAGTCCAATAATCTTTCCAGCCTGGTTGACGATCTGTCCCAGTTTGTTATTTTATTTGACAGAGAGGTACCCATACCATGACATGATGTTGAATGTCAGCACACTCTCAGTCAAGGACTTGTAGACCATGGACATAGTGTGCTGTCTGGTGTTAAGGCCCCTGAGTCTTCTCAGGAGAGCCAGGCGCTGTCTACGTTTTTTAAATGTGTAATCCACATGGTCTTGAAACTGTAGGTAGAAGTATTTCAATTAACTTTTTTCCAGTCTGTTGTCTAAAATTGTAGTGTGGAGTCTAAAAGCTTTAATTAATTAGCTCAGGGTAAACCAAAAGGGGAAGGAAACAGAATCAGGGTTTGCTCGCCTGTGTTTGGGTTGTTTTAACTAGAAATGTAGAAATAATCAGGTTGCATCCATATAGGGTTTTGTTCTGCCATTTGTCTTTTAGATTAAATGGTTGTTTACCATTTAATCTAAAATCTATGAAGTCACATCATAAAACAAAACCAGACAAATTTGCGGTAGTTTTTTATCCTGAAACAAAAATAATCTTACTGCTTAATTTACATTAGTACATCTGCTATTGATTTCCCCTCTGATTACTTTTGCATCAAATATCTTGTGTTTTTGCCTGTTTTAGTCATAAAATATAGAGCTGGAAGTCAACACACCTTTGCTTGCACGTAGCTTTTTGATGCAGTCAACAATGCTTGAAGTTTGGTGGTGGTGTGGGAGGAGATATCTGCAGAAACTTTGTTTATGCAACATCCCCCCTTTCAGTGAGTTATACAAATAGAATATGGAGCAGATTTTGTAATTAAGAAGAAATAAGCATTAATGCATTACAGAACAATATTGAATTATTAACATCAGCTTTGACTGGTTTATGAAACATTCTTACATCTTTTCCCCTGCCTTTTAGTATGTTATGAACCAAGCAAAAACGTAGCACATTACTCCGAAACTAACGAAAAAATACCAAAAAAAATTAAATGATGACATATATTTGCATCTAGTCTCATTTACTCCAACTTAAAATAAATCTAGTGCATACAAACCACATTATTTTGACATGACATTAACAGTACACTCTTTGCTGTTGTTCAAACTTCTATTGGGTTGTGGTTTGGTTACACCCTAAAGCTGCAGTATGTAACTTTTATTTTAAAACATAGCTTTTTTTTTCCATATTTATTTAAATGTTCAACATGTTGTGAAATAATGGCATGAGACTTATAGTTTCTGAAGAGATTGATCTTCTCCACATTCTCCATGCTGCTATGGATGTCTGACGAAATACACCGTTCCCAACCCAAAACAACCGATCAGAGCCAGGAGGAGGGTCTTAGCGCTGTCAGTCATTCTTGTGAATGCACTGCTTAATGTGTTAATGGCAGAGAAGCATCTCACCATTACGGAAAAACTGTCCGCCGTCACTGGTTGCCATTAGCATTCAGAGAGGTGAAGAGGAGATGAGCAGCACCGCAACAGCTATGATTGACAGCACTAAGACTCCTCCTAGCTCTGATTGCTTGTTTCTAGTTTGCACTGAGAGATGGCAGAGCAGCTTGACTTATTTTTATTTTCACAGATTATCTGTCTCATATTGTCATGCTTTCACAACATAATGAGAGTTTTAACAAACAGGTAAAAAAATATTTTTATAAAAGTTACATACAGCAACTTTAAAGTCAGTACATTAAAATAGTCTTTTCTTGTGATTCATAGCAAAACTTAATTAACAGCGATTCGCTGAACACCACTGTCCTTACATTAACCTTAAAGAAACAGGAAAATGCCTGCATATAACTACAATTGGTGACTCCACAAACAGATGGAAGTCTACTGTATTTCTCTACTGCAACTTTTAAAGGTGATATTATTTATTTATCCAACGCTGGTTTTTGTGATAGTTTGAATAAATTTGACATTGCCAAAGGAGAAAATGGGGTTTGTTGTTGTTAAATAGAAGTTGCTGCTGGTTTGATTCAGAAAGAGTCCAAATCATGTAGGTGTGAAAATATTAGCATTTAGCCGTCTGTCAAATCATACGAGTCTTTCAAGTCTTCTTTCAACACTCATGGAAAAGCAAAGTTATGTTTCTGCTTCCGTCAGTCTTACTCTGAATACTCTTATCCTGTGTGAGACAGTATGAGCTGATTCTGTATGTCAGCTGGTTGTCAAAGATGCATTCTGTATGTTGCTTATGAAGAGAAAAAAATCACGTTTCTAGAGATTGTTTCAGCTGAATTGTATCTTGAAAACATTAAGGCTGATCTGTTTTATCATAATCTAAGGTTTGCTGCAGGGTGAGACAGAAAGTCTGAGTTTTGAGTTCATTACTCTCATGTCTCAGCCCTTTGTTTTTTTCACTCACTAAGCCTCCAGCTCAGGAAATGAACCTCCCCACTCACTGCTGGGCATCAGTGATAAAGCTTACTCACTTTGTTCTGCTTTAGAAGGGTTGAATTATGCAAAATTCACATTTTTGTACTTCCATTTCAGTCTCAGCTGCTGCGTAGTGCTGTATACTAAGCTAATGAGTTTTGGTGTCTGGAACGTGACCCGCATCAAAAACAGTCAGCATGTAATGTCACTAATCAGCAAACGCTAGCATGTTTGGTCAGCTGTATTTTGGGGGGAGCGGGGTTCTATTTTTTTCTCTGAAGAGTTTTTACGGTGCTAGTGGCTTGTATTTTCTGCGACTGTAGGCAGACATGCGGCAAAGGTCACCAGGACCAGGAATCGAACCCGTGACAGCTGCGTCGAGGGCTAGGGCCTCCAAACATGGGGTGTGCTAACCCCCTGAGCCACCACAGCGCATCCTGGTCAGCTGGTTTTACTGTTGTATGCGCTTTACAATGGCTGCTGAAGAAGACAAGAGTTTTTACCAGAGCTAGCCTAAGCGAAATGCAAGTTAAGCGGCTGCTTAGGGGTCTCGCACCTCCAGGGAGCCTTAAGAGCATCAAGCTAGCATGATAAAATACATGTTTATATTTTAAATACCATCGAATAATCCAAACTAAATTCTATTACATATACAAATAATAAGCTAATGTCTTCTTGATGTTGGCTGGCACCACAAGTGAATTATAAAATATCAATCTTGTTAACTTTACTGTAAATTTTGCATTTATCAGCTTATGTTACTTTCAGATACGTAAATTAATATGGCACACCTCAATACCACTCTGCATTTAAAACTCCAAATGTTTTTTTAGTTTGCTATTCCTGTAAGATTAAAATCATCAGCCACAATAACACTGGTATGATGTAAGTTAATGACAAATGACAGTAGTGATAGTAGGTATCATTTATCATTCCTAAGCTCAGGTATGATAAAGCATCTGGTATTGGCATGTTGGTATGAGGAGCCCCCAAATTAAAATCTGCTTAGGGCCCCCAAAAGGCTTGGACTGGCCCTGTGAGATACTATCTCGCAACCACGTGCTGAATTTTCAGTGGTTGTGCAGGAAGCTCAGTTTCTGCTTTTCCAAGTTGTAGGGTTGCAAGTTTTTTCCAGTGAGTGTAAACGTTGCATTGGGCCAGCAGCAGCTTATTTGGTTTTGAAGTGACAGATCCCTGAAACCGCTGATTCTGAAAGGAGCTCGACATAGGCAGAACTGAGCAGACTAAAATCTGATTATCTGTAAAAAAAAACAAAAAAAATCTGAAGCTGTTTTAGGAAGCATAATAGGTCACCTTTAAGGGTCCTACTCCTCACCCACTACCCAGCTGTGGGATGGGTATCACAGATATAAAGCGTCCAACCTTTTCAAGAGCTTGCTGTTTGACCCCCATTCCTGCCAAGCAAAGACGGGCGAGAAAGGTCAGGAAAAGGTCAAGGATCAGTGCTCTGTGTTGCCGTGTCTGGCTTGCAGGTTTGCAGTGTCACATGCTGCACAAGCCCCCATTTGTACCATTAGCACTCTATAGAGTGATTGCAAAAGTTTTAATTCCCCTTTAACTTTCACATTTTGTCTTATCATAGTCACATTTTTCAGTCAACCTATTTATATTTTATATGACAGACCAACAAAAGTAGATCACAGATACAAGGCAGTAACCATGCATGAATAATTGCCACAGCTGCAGACGTTTAGCATGTATTTGCCTCCAGCCCCCTCAGTGTTTCAACCACTTTTCACTGCGGTTGCAGCAGGAAGTGTTCTATGGTTCCCCTCTATCAGCTCTGTATAAGTACAGATAGATTTGTTTTGCATTTTGATCATGCAGTGAGCAGCTTGTAAATAAAGTTATAGAACCTAATTCTGCTTTAAACTTCACAACTTTCCTGACCTGTCTGCTGGGTTCTTTAGTTTTCAATGTTTTCTAATGTTCTCTAGCAAACCTTCACAGAACAGCTGCATGTATACTGGAAATGACACTATCGACTCAGTAAATAGTGTATCAGGATAAATAGGTGATTTCATTTGGGTGTAAAAGTATCAAAGGAGTTAATTTTTAGGTTTTTTAGGTTTTTATTGCAATTTTTTGTTTAACTTTATATCACATAAAACCTCCATAAAACACATCATAGTTTGTGATTGTAACTGTACAAATTGTGAAAACGTCGCATCCATGGTTACACAGCAATGTTTTACCATTCAGCCTTTAAAATAAGAGGCGTGTTTTGGTTTGCGTAATAAATTTTGAACAGTGTTTTAGTTGTACACATTTCACTAAAACACTAAAAAAATGTTGGAAATTGCTGAATTTAGGTGCAGAAGTGTAAAAGAATTGGGATCAAGCAAACCTGCCTGTTCACCTCTACAACTGTTCCAACTTTGTTGCATTCTCTGCCATTCACTGAAACCATCTTTGCCCTTTCAGTGGCTGCTCACTAGCATGCTACTCCAGCCTGAGAGCTCACTGAATGTCACAAGCCGTCTCTGGTTGCGCCCTGTTCTTTTTATAGCCAGACAGCTGAAATGTGAGGGGTCACAAAGGCAGGATAAATACAAGGGCCAGCGCGGAGGAGAGGTGTCGCAGACGAAGGCCGGATCTTCTGCCTACCACTCTTCTCTCAGCTCTCCTCCCAAACTCAAAGGTAAAATAAAAAAGAGCATAGAGTCTGAAATCTGTTTTTTATTTAATATTTTGAATAGTTAGAGATGAAACAGATGATCGTCACATTTTGTGTGATCTCAGCAGATGACAATTTTTTGCATGCAACCCACAGACTCACCAGTGCAGATGACAAGTTTTTATCTTGTTCATTACAAAGACTTTTAACATGTGGTGAATAACATCGTCAAAGTACTTCTGCCTGGAAATCTATTTATGTTTAGCCCTCATACAATGAACGTAACAGCTTGCTATGGCTCAATAAGTGCTATGAGTGAGCAGACAGAGCATTGCAGACTGTGGTCAATGTGGTGGCGTTTCTGTTTTCTACGCGTGGGAAACTGACAAGTCGTTGAAAAAGATTTTAATCTAGCAGGGCTGTTTGCATTGTTACTCCTCCTCCAGAGTGCCATGGCTGCTGAACATCTGAGGATTTTTCCTCGGCTTTGGAGCCTTGCAGTGGCATACCATGTAAATTTAGCTCAGCCTATTCATAGAGCAGGCAAAGACAAGAGGAAGAGGGCAGCAAGTGTGAAGGGAAAGGTCAGAGATACTGGGTTGGAAAATGGAATAGGTCAGTCACATGCTAGGAGGGATTTTAAAGAGTGGAGTGTAGATCTAAGTACGGCGGCATGTTGGGGCCACTGCAGCTAGAAAAACAGGAAAAAAGGGGGATCACAGAATTCTTTCCTATAAAAACTACGTCTTTTCTGAGCTCCAAATATTTACAAAAAAACCCTGAGATTTTTAGATTAATCTCAATTTTTTATTGAAGCAAGAAAATTTATCAGCTCAAAAAACTGAAAATCTGTGAGAAAAAAAGAAAATGAAATATTGTAGGAAAAACTTTTGAAACTCTGAAATCTGTTTTTTCCAGAAAAATGTCTTAGATTTATCTCAAAATTGAGTTTTCTAGCAAATTTTTTACTTTTCAAGTTCAGAAGCTGATTTTTCTTACTTTTTTTAAATTTCTGAGATTAGTCTCAAAATTTGTCAACTTTTTGGTGGAAATTTATCCCTCATTTTTTTCTATCTACTATTCTGCCCTGGTAAGCAACAATAAAATGAAGCTGGGAAGCAGCAGAAACACTTGTACACGTGAAACTGTGTCAAACACTTCAGTAGGTTTCGCTTATTACCAGAACATTAGAGAGAGAGTAAAAAAAAACATGCAAAGACACCTTACCACCACTTCCTTCACATTGTCGACCTTTCGGTCCTTGGCCTTCATCTTGTACTTTCCCACTCATCTAGAAGAAAACCAAAACCACAGACCTTTGCAGTTTTGCTGAACTTTTTCCCCCATTCAGTTTAAGCCCCATGTTTGCTTTTGCTGCTCCAAAGCTTTATCTGCGCTTCCTTTCTCTGCACAGAGTCAGGATGCCTCACGCATACCCTTTCCTCACTCCTGAGCAGAAGAAGGAGCTCTGTGACATTGCTCAGAAGATTGTCGCTCCAGGCAAGGGAATCCTTGCTGCAGATGAGTCCACAGGTGAGAGAGAGAGCAGTGAGAATCCACCGCGAATGGAAAGCAAGACATCCTCCTTAAAAAGCTATTTATGTCATAGCAACCAAGAGTTGGCATCTGAACACTACTCAACTCAATAAACGTAGCAGCAGCGGTATGGAGATCTATTAACTTCAAGCTGTTGAACACTATGCCATGTTGCGCTCTGTTCTGAACACCAATATTGCTTTATTTTCAAAAATAGAGAAAATGGTTAAATCTAAACTGTTTCTATGGATCATTTATCAGCATAGTTTAATTCAGTTCTTAATGTCTGGTAGTTTTTAAATAGAATACCATTCAAAGTCGTCCATATGCCAAACTTCAGCGTTGTAATTCCAAACTGCACCTTAATAAATCTCTTTTTACCAAAGAGTTATCCTGTTTGGCTTTGGCCAAGCCTTTAAACTTTAGATTTTAAACAACCTTTAGAAATAGAAACAACTTGTCTCTCAAAGGGGAAATTCAGGTGTAAGAGCAACAACGGATTTAAAGGTTCACACAAAAAGTTCTAAAAAATGATGAAAAATCATTATAATAATATATTATAATATTAACAGAACTCAGTATAGCCTTTTAAATGTGATTCAACCCAAATTGGAAGAAGCAAATTGTCTGATAACTTTAGCATTATGTCTAAAGGGTATTAAGAAACATTGAACTTGCCATTTTATTTCTGTTTTCACAGATAAAATAAATAACCTGTAAGAGCAAAAACTAATCTGGTTTAGATTTGAACATTATTTTCTGTCCCAGATATAAAAGATGGTATCAATCTAATCATGTGTCATATCTCACTAAATTACCATTTGTTTACTGTAATTACAACCACAAATAGTGTCACTCAAGCAATTTAGAAATATTGGGGGATAAAGCAATGGTTGTTTAGCCAACAAGCCCATGTTGACAGTAACTGGATAACTCTTTACTCGCCTGAAATATATAACTTTGGAACACTTTAGCATTGATATATGCACCTTTAAATCAAAATAATATGGAATCTTCTGCAAGAGTTCAATCAAAGAGTGGCTTTATAACCTGCAGGGAGTGTGGCTAAGCGCTTCCAGAGCATCAATGCTGAGAACACTGAGGAGAACAGGAGGCTGTACCGCCAGCTCCTCTTCACTGCTGACGACCGCATCGTCCCGTGCATCGGTGGCGTCATCCTGTTCCACGAGACCATGTACCAGAAGACCGACGACGGAAAGACTTTCCCCCAGTACCTGAAGGAAAGAGGCATGGTGGTCGGCATCAAGGTAGACAAGGGCGTTGTCCCTCTGGCCGGAACCAACGGCGAGACAACCACCCAGGGTGAGTAGAGCAGGAGCTGGTAGTGAATCCTTTACCAGCGATTTGTATCAGCCACTTTTAAAATATTCTCCATCCTACAGGTCTCGATGGACTGTATGAGCGCTGTGCACAGTACAAGAAGGATGGTGCTGACTTCGCCAAGTGGCGCTGTGTCCTGAAGATCACTCCCACCACCCCCTCAAAGCTGGCCATCCTGGAGAATGCCAACGTCCTGGCTCGCTATGCCAGCATCTGCCAGATGGTGAGCATGATCTCTTGAGAAGGTTTAGAATCTTTCACTGAGAATTTTGTGTCCGTTAATCGCATGGTTGTTAAGTTAAACTTTAAAAAAAGCTTAAGAGTCGTAAATACTCAAATACAATATGCCCATCACTGTCAGGAGAATGTTAAGAAGTTAGAATTTAAAGATGACCTATTATGCTAAGTTTACATTTTGTTTGTTTTTGTACTTACATTTGTGTTTCAACTGCTTCTAAAAACAGCTCAAGTTCTTAAAAAACACCTTGCCAATTAATTAATGTCTGGAAAGTGGCTCCTTTCAAAAAGCTCCTGATTGTTGAGTCACAAATCATCAGGCTCTGCCCCTGACCTAGCTACCCAAACAAGGCCTAGCTGCTTACCAGCACGCTTGGTCAGCTGGTTTTACTGCTGCATGTGTGCAATGGCTGCTGGAAAACAGAAGTATTTTCTTGTTCACTTACAGTATTGAAACTATGTGCTGCATTCTTGTGGATTGTACAGGAGGCTCCTCTTCTGCTTTTTAAAGAAGTACAGTTGTATGACTGCACGTCTGTTTTCACTGTTTTCAGTGTAAACATTGCTGTTAACGTGACAACAGGCCCTAAAACAGTTCATTCTGAAAGGCGCTCAGAGCAGGAGGAACTGAGCAGAGCAAAGTCTCATCATCTAAGAATGATTTAGTATTTAATGAAGTCATTTAGTATAGAGCTGTGCTGACTGTTCCAGGAAGCATAAAATGTCACCTGTAGCATCAGCAATGTCTTTCCTCTGATATTCTTTCCTCTCGCCCCCATCGTGTTGCCCTCGCTCCTGCCTCCCTCCCTCAGCACGGCATCGTCCCCATCGTGGAGCCGGAGATCCTCCCTGATGGCGACCACGACCTGAAGCGCTGCCAGTACATCACCGAGAAGGTCCTGGCCGCCGTCTACAAAGCCCTGTCCGACCACCACGTCTACCTCGAGGGCACCCTGCTCAAGCCCAACATGGTCACCTCCGGACACTCCTGCTCACACAAGTACAGCAACCAGGAGATCGCCATGGCAACGGTCACTGCGCTGCGCCGCACTGTGCCCCCTGCCGTCCCAGGTAAACGACATTTAAACACTTAAAGAAAACAAAAAGAAAGGCAGCTTTCTTATATACATCCTCGGTTCTTGATGGATTTGTTGATATAAAGGATTAATGCAGGGCCGGCCCAAACATTTTTGGGGCCCTAAGCATATTATTAACATGTCAAAAACTAGATACTTCATCAGGCCTACGCTACACTGTGCATGTTCCTATTATTAGCTCACACTGCAAAAACACACAATCTTAACAAGCGTTTTTTAGTTTCTAGAGGAATATCTCAGCACACTTGAAATAAGACAAGTTTAACTTACAAGTACCTTTTTAGCAAGATATAGGAGCTTGTTTTAAGTCAGTAATATTATAACATATAATTTAATATTGATGAAAAGATATTTCCACTTGTAAGAGGAAATTCTTTTATAAGCGAGACATTTCCTAATTTATTATGAGGAAATGTCTTCATATTAGTAACTCACATTAGTGGGACCAATACTTAAGGATATTAATCAATATTAATTAAATATTGACTTAAAACAAGCTCCTATGTCTTGCTGAAAATCCACTTTTAAGTTAGTTTTGTCTTATTTTAAGTGAACTAAGACATTTACACTAGAACTTAGACCAAAAATACTTGGTAAGATTGGTATTTTTTGCAGTGTACATTAGACTCGTTTTATTATTTCTCTTGGTTTTAATCTTACAGGAGAAGCAAACAAGCAAATTAATTTCATTTTGAAAATGCAGAGTGGTATTTGCTGTGTGATGTATTAATTTAATTGTTTGCAAATAACATTTGCAGACAAATACTTAATTTACAGTAAACAAGTTGAAAAGTTTAATATGTTTTGTTCTTAAAATGTCAAACAGAAAGTTGACAGAAAGTATAAAATGTGTAATTTATTACTACAAAATAAAATAAAACAGTGCTCTTGGGGGCCCCCTGGTGGTGTTGGCAGCCCCTTCACTCACATATGTCTTGGGCCTGCTCTGGATAAATCTTCAGGGAAAGTTGTTACTTGACTGTATTTTCATGCCTTGTACAGGAATCACCTTCCTGTCTGGTGGCCAGAGTGAGGAGGAGGCCTCTGTTAACCTGAATGCCATGAACCAGTGCCCTCTGCACCGACCTTGGGCTCTGACCTTCTCATACGGCCGCGCTCTGCAAGCCTCCGCCCTCAAAGCCTGGGGGGGCAAGAAGGAGAACGGAAAGGCATGCCAAGATGAGTTCATCAAGAGAGCTCTGGTAAGCTTTCAATTACAAAATGCTCCAGAATGAACTTGGAATAAATCCACTAATGTACATTTTATTTTCCTCCTTCAGGCCAACAGCCTGGCCTGCCAGGGCAAATACGTCTCCTCTGGAAGCAGCGCTGCTGGTGGAGAGTCACTGTTTGTGGCTAATCATGCTTATTAAGCATAAACGCACTCCCCACCGTCTACTCACCATTATCGCATCACCATTTATAAAAAGGGCAGTTCCTCCATAAAGGAGCGCCTTCAACATCCTTTGTTCACCAGTAACACTAACAAGAGAAAGAAGAAGTGGTTGATGGAAAATGTTTGTCTCCATTCCCTTACTTTTATTTCTAAACACCTTTTTGTACAGGTGAAGATTCCCTTTTTGTTTTTACACATTTTGTTCCTTGATCTGCTTCGGACGAGTACAGAGTTTAACATTTACACGGCAAAAAATACTAATCTTACTACGTGTTTTTAGTCTACTTTCTAGCACACTTGAAATAAGACAAAACTAACTTACAGGTAACTTTTTAGCAAGATATAGGAGCTTGTTTTAAGTAAGTAATTTCTCAATATTAATTTTTACCAGTGGAACAATATTAAGTAATTATCCACCTAGAAACATAACTAAAAATGTTCAGTAAGATTTGTGTTTTTTCCAGTGTACAAATACCATGAAATAAAGTTTGTATCCAAACACGTCGCTTTCCTCCATTTTGTAGTTGGCTTCTCTTTGCATGCTCTTTGTGTCTCGCAGAAATGACAGAGCTAACCTGAAGCAGGGACATGGTGAGAGAAGCTGCACTACTGACAAAACAAAGCAACGCTCAAAGATTAACTTCTGCATCTCTGCAGACACAATTGTCTAAGTGTGCTTTGGAAAGAGGAAGAAAATGCATTTTTGCAATGTCTGATAAGAAAGGTGCTGAGAAGATAAAAGATGTTATCACTGGGCAAACAAACGTCAGTCGCAACAAAAGCGAAACCCGTTTTAGTCACGGCGTCCCCCTCGCAGAATGTCGTCCTCATTTTGTCGCCATCTAAACGTGGCAGCGGTTGAGTTTCATAACAGCTGCAGCCCGGTTCTTCTCTGCTGTCTTAATTTGTAAAATAAATTCACATATAATTTTGAGAATATCTGTAATGAATGAATTGAGTTGTTTGAACATTACAGCAAAACAATGGAGATTAGCTTAATTCTCCAGTATGTGACTTTTACAAAAATTATTTTTTTCTATATTTATTAAAATTGTCACTGTGTCCTGACAGTATAATATCAGATAATCTGTTTAATTGATCTCTCCTCCCAGCGCTACTAATATGAAATGTTCCCAGTCAAAAACCTCCAATCAGAGCCAGGAGGCGGGTCTTAGCCGCTCATTATCATAATGCTGGAGAAACGACTTAGGAAAATAAATCAGTGGTGAACCAGCTATAGCCTAGCAGAGACAGGTTACGCATGAGCTTGATTGACAGCTCTAAGTCCCTCCTACTGGCTCTGATTGGTTGTTTCTGACTGAGTGGTGTATTTCAGCAATTAGTGATTAATTATAAAATTTACTTAAAAACCTCAAATAGTATGAGCAACTGATTATTCCAGATTATTCTATCATCTTCACCACTTTTATCTGATGCTTGCTGCAAATTTATGTAAATCTAAATGGCAGATTTTTTCTAAACATGCTTAGCTTAAAAAAACTACAGTAATTAAATAAAATTATAAATTTCAGCTGCAGTAATGTAGAGCTGTCAAGCAATCAGATCATGTTGGACATTATCACTAACACTAACGTGTTGAGGATTTGGTCCTTGTGGCGGTGGTCGTAGGTTCGATTCCCAGCCTGGTGACATTTTGCCGCATGTCTTCCCTCCGTCAGTACCGTGTTTCCTGTCAAATAAAGACCACTAGAGCCAACAAAATCTTTACAAAAAGAAATACATTTATTCACACATGTCATTTAAAACATGCCATCATCCTGTTGTCTTCTTCATCTCCCCCAGTAGTAACATCCTGTTGATCACATGACTCATGTGACGTAAAAAAAAAAGTGTTTCCACTGCTCATTTATGAAATACAGCCGAAAATCCAGCTCATTATCATTGAAAAAACTATTTTTTTCAATTGGTGTGTTTCCGTTGAGCAAATTTATTTTCGTAATTCCCATTTCCATAAGATGGTTCATGGAAATGCAGTTGTTGGTTTTCTTTTGAAGCCTTTAATACTTATATTTTTGCATCTTCTTGCAAAGACACTAAGTTCTCCTGAATGTCTAGAAAAAATCTAAAACAAAGTAAAAGTAGCATTTTTAAACCAAAAAGGAGCCAGACAGAGACGACAGATTATTAAAAACATTGAAGAAAGTCCAATTTTCCTTTCTAGTTATTGAGTTTTATATGGTTTTGGTAGATTTGAAAAATCTATTATCTTTATAAACAGTGGAGCTGTTTGACTGGAAGGCAAACAGCTCCACCCAGCAGTCACAACATAGTAGTTCAAATCTTTGACCCCCAGTGACCTTTAGTATTTTTATCAAACCCCTGATGGGGAGCCTGGTGTGAATGTGACACCGAATGAGAACATTTTTCAGAGTAGATGTAATTTCATCAGCAGTGAAAACATTTGGATGCTCTTTTTTTTTACAGTTTTGTTGTTTCTTGTTCCCATTTTTTCTTTCACTTCTTAAATTCACAATACACGAGATCATCACTTACCTGTAGTTTCTCGTTATGTTAGAGCTTCCTCTAACCTGGACTTCTTGCTGTCATGCATGAAAGCAACAAAACGCCACTTCAGTTCTGCCCTGTTTTCACACTTTAATCATCTTCACGCATCGCTTGCTCTTCCATGCCAGACTGAACTCTGTTCTCCTTTTTTAATGGCTAATTACATTTTTTCTTTGTACTTTTGTTCTGTGGGGCCCGGTTTCTCTTTTCACATGAATTTCTGTGGCATTTCACGAGTTCCTTCTTTGCAGAGGAAACGGTCGTGGTGAGGTCACCGCCAGATTTAGAGTCGGACGTCTATTAAATGACAGAAAATGTCACGCTGTCATGAGTAATATGATGAAGTGTCAAACTCCTTATCGCTTTCCTCCTTACCCACATTGAAAAGTGTCACATTCAACACAATTTGTGCCTAAATAAACACCAGATAAAGAAGCTTTGAAAGTCCCAACTGTTCCAGTCTTGTGCTTTTATCTCCAGTTAGAGATCAGTTATTAGTTTTTCTCTTTTTTTAATCTTAGGCCTGAATGTCGTCTCTGTTGTGTCCAGCCTCGGTCTAAAAAAGGCCTGAGTGTCATTTTGATCACGAGCCTCCAGCCTCTTGTGGACGTGCTCACAGACAGCTGCGCCGTCGCTGCCATGCTTTGCTCTCTAATCTCTCAACATGCGCAGATGCACTTTCTGCCTGCTGACGACGTGAAAAATGTTTTCTCCTCATCTCATCTGCAGAGTCTCTCACAATAAAAATGATTTACTTGATATTAATGACAGTCTATTTAAAATCAATAAATTTGAAGTTTTAAAGTTTATCCCATTTTTAAGCACTTCAGATTAGAAATTCTCCACTTTTTGTTTTTCTGGTTTATTAATGTGGCAGAAGTTTATTCCTGGTAGTAAGAAGAAGAAAGTGTAGTTCAAATTGAGATCTTGAGGTTTAACATTCTTAAAAACAATCAGATGCAATTTATGAGTAGGGCTGAAATGAGTAATCAGATTAATTGTGATTAGTCAATTATTGAATCGTTAACTAATTTAGCAATTGATTAATGGTGAATTGGAGTTTTCAGACTCAAAAAATTATATAATTTTTTCTAGATTGTTTTATTAAGATTCAAATAACTTCGGTTCACAACTTAATTGTACAAAAATAGTCACGTCAGTCCAATTATGCCGTCATTGTGACTGTTCCCAGTTACCAACCAGTGCATCATGTTCAAGTCAGATTAGTCTGATCAACTGTAAGGAAACCCAGCAGATTGCTTCATCACTGACGTGCAGCATTCAGTCTTCCTGCATTAGTGCTCAATCACTTGCACTGCACCGGCTGTTTAAAATACATTTATCTCTCAGGCTTTCCAAATTTCATTAAACTTCTGAATTTAAAAAAGACATTTTTCTGCATTTAGCATGAATAAATAACTTTGAAAATTCCAACTTACTCAAAGAATTTCATTGAGTAATGAATAACTGCAGCATCACGGTCAGAAGGAGGACAAAAGAGAACTGAGTGGAAAGATCGCCTGAGTTGCGACACGTAAAGCTGGCGTCTGCGTCAGTGCCGTTAGAGCTGAACGTCACGAAGTCCGCTGTGGTCCCAGCGATCTGCTCTGTGATCCACGCCTGAAACTGAGACACTCGAGCGTAGACCTCAGGAAAACCTGCAGTGGCACAGGGGATCCCAAAGCTTGTGATTCCGGCCTGGATCCACCTGGAGTCCTGCTTGCATTGCAGAGGTCCACCGGAGTCTCCCTGACGCAGCAGGACGAAACACAGAGTTAAATAACAAACAATGTTATGTCTTGCAGAAATATTTGTACCATTGAACTTCTCCATATTTTGTCAGATTAAACAAACTAACTAATGCTTAAGTATTTTGTCTAGTATCTTGCCCCCCCTGCAGTAGCACTGCTGCCCCCCAGGGGGCGCGCCACTTTGGGAACCACTGAGGCCCTGTTTACACAATGATCCAACGAAAATGGGATTTTTGTTTCGTTTCTGTTGACACATTTACATGAAGACGTCCTAATTATAATCTTTGTTTACACCAGGGGCCCCCAAAGTGGGTTCTGGAGGGCCGGCATCCTGCATGTTTTAGTTCAGAACCGTTGCTCTCTGGAACCCATTTTCAATCTGTGCCGTTGTCAGAGAAAACATTTGGTGGTTTTATGTAAATGTACTGTACAAACACAACAAAACGCTTCCATTTTCACCAGAAATGACTGTCGTTGAAACAGGGCCTGAGTTAAGAGTTTCAGAAGGTCTGGGAGAGACTTTCTGCTCTAACTGGTGGTTCAGCTGTTGAGCTTAAATATAAATGCACGCAAAGAACCCCTTGAAACTAAATACCACTTTCCTTTCTCTTCACATTGCTTTGTGTTAGTTTAAGAGATAAAAATACTGTGGGTTGAATCTTTGAGCTGAGGCTTTAATTATGGATCAGCTTTGTTAATCGACTGTAGATCTTTTATATCTTTATTGGGATTCACCTGACATGCTCCTTTGTTCTCTTGCCCGGCGCACATCATTTTGTTCGTGATGGTTGCGTCTGTATTTCTGTAACTACAGGCGCACTGATTGTTTCCAATGACAGGAATCTCAACTTCCTGTAGATTAGAGGTCGCTGGCAAGGACACTGAGAATCACAATGTGAAAATTAGCATCAGATGATCCATTTAAAAATGATGACGTTCAATTTGACAAACAAAACTCCACACAGGATCCTCACCATTGCTCAATAGTCTTCCCCAGCCGGTGATCCAGCATGAAGTGGCATTGAAGAACTGGCTGAGGTTGCTGGCGAGGCAGATGGGTTGGATGAAGTTGTTGAAAGTGACCGAGCTGCTGAGTTTCATCAAGGCGAGGTCGTTGTTGAAGAGCGTGTTGTTGTAGTTTGGATGGACGATGATCTGGCTCACCTGGCGTGAAACCTCGTTATCATTGGGCCCAGCCTGGGTCTGTCTCCCGAAGTAGAGGGTCCACTCACTCAGTGTGTTCCTGCATTTAGAGAAATTAAACAATAAGAAAAGAAATAGTCTCATAATACGTCGTGTGTCTTAATTTATTGGATGTTTTTTTCTTTTTAAAATTGTTTTCTGTCCCAAATAACCCCAAATCTGACATATTATTTTCTGCAAGCCTCAAATGCCATTTCTTACCATTTAAGGTGGTAAGTATATGTAAAGGTGGCAGATTGTGTTTCCTTGAACAGGTTAGGATATGTCTGTAATCTACAAAACATGTTTGTTACATTAATTTGCACAATAAAGAGATAAAGAGGTTCTACTTTGCTGTGCCTATTGTGAGCTCTCTGCAGACTAAGTTGTTTTAGGTCCTTTTGTCTTTTAAATCCGAATAAGTTGCTGCTGGCCACCCTCCTCATCTCAGCGCTTACACTTGCACATGAAAACTGCAGAAAACAAATGTACATCCATACAGGCATGAAAAGCAGAAGTGGAGCCTCCTGTAGAGTCAACAAGTAGTTTCCAGACTGTAAATCAACAACAAAACATTTAGTCTTTTCCTGCAGCCATTGTACAGCGCAGTCCTGGAGCTCTGACTTGGTTGCTAGGTAGCAGTGCCTGTTGACTCAGTATTTGGGAGGTTTTTGAAATGACTCATTTTCCAAACACCAAAAACGTTACTTCATTGCAATAACATGGCTGGGTGTTTTTAGAAGCAATAAAAAACCTAATGAAAGTACAACAACATGCAAAATGTGAATTCTGTGTAACATATCCACTCTAATAAAGTAGATTTTCTTATCACAACAAACCTTGAACCATTTTTATAAAGTCAAATTTGGACCTCTGAACATGAAATTTGAAAAAACAGGTTCTAGTTCGTTGTTTATCGAAAGCAGGTAGAAGGATGGTTAGTAAATTACTGGTGTTGAATTTGAACTTGCTGAGTTGTCAGCTAAAGAGAGGAGATGAATTTTGACGTCATGCAGCAAGGCAGGCTATACAGAAACTGAAATGAGTCAGGAGCCACTCAGTGTTTGAACTTGATTGAGTAACTGCATCTCTGTTCAGAGCATAAATTTCCTGTTTGTCGCCTTAGGAACTCTTTCTGATCTACTTTTCTGATGATGCAGATTCAGCACATACCAAGAGATATACTGGGAATATTTAGCAGTCGCTTTGTGAACAATATTTGGTTATTTCGCAATATTTAGCTTTATTTGAAACAATGTGATGATAAAAAAAAAAACACTTTTTTTGTATTTACTCAGGTTAGCATGGAAGCAGGAAATGTTTAATCTGATTTAATGTCAGATAATGACAGAAACGTTTAGCCAGCAGCTGCACAATATTGATGCCTGGAAGTGATTTGAATTATGTTCTGCAGTTTTAATGTCACTGTTTTGAAAGTGAAGTCATTGTTTACTGAGAGGAGAATCCTTTGGTACTGATTCTTGATTTTCCAAGGAAGTACATCTTAAATCTGTTACTCTATTACACAGTTTCAAGACTAATGTGATGGTTTTACGGCAGTATAGCTTGTACTTCTGAGAAGAGATGGCTTACTATTAATTGTTTCTGCATTTAAGCCATCATAAGTCTCATGATGAATCAGAACGTTTCACTTCCTCCTTTACAGGTAAACCAAAAAAAATACAAACGCTGTGATTAGTGGATTTCCAGCAAAGTGGGTTATGGTGCCATACCTGTGGTAGACTGAGGGAACCAGTAAGAGTTTCAAGTTTTATTTTGTTTGTTTTTTTACACCTCACTATCCCTTCCTGCACTTTCTTCATGTATTTTATTGCCTTTAAAGGTCACACAGACAAAAATATGGATCCTTAAAAAACCCATCACAGAATAAAATCCCCTTTTATTCACCGCAAAAACTACGTTCATTTAAAAACTATATTTGAAGTTTTATTCAATCGTTGTAGGTTTTCTGTCCTTACATTGGTCAGTTTGTGACTTTCTGCATTGGTGACCAGTCTGAGTGAGAAACATTTGCAGGAAACACAACGCGTTCCTCACTAGGCCCAGCGCCGCGTGTCAGCAGCGTAGAGTTTCACCACCGAGGAAGTTCCTTGTCTGCTGTCTGAAAGATATTTGTCTAGTTGCATCGCTTAAATGTCACTTCAGTGTTTGTAAAGGTAGATGTTACTGATATCAAGAGACATTCACTTTCTCAGAAAGTGTTTCTGCTGAACAAACTGTGGTTTTCCATGCAAACATAAAATCTTACCAAGTACTTTTGGTCTAGTTTCTATTGCAATTCTCTTAGTACACTTGAAATAAGACAAAACTAACTGTATAGCAAGATATATGCACTTAATTTAAGTAAATAATTTGTTAATGTTGATGAAAAAGTATTTGTTTCTTTGGCAAGTTGTTTCTATTGTTTTTCCCAGATTATAAGTGAATTTATCTGCCAATTAAACTAGAGCATTTTTTATCAATCAATCAATCAAATTTTATTTGTATAGCACATTTCAGCAAGGCATTTCAAAGTCAATATATTACATTTTAATCAATATTAAGGAATTATTTACTTTCAATAAGTATATCTTGCTACAAAGTTTCTTTTCAGGTAATTTTGTCTTATTTCATGCGTGCTAATATAATTGGAGTAGAAACTAAACCAAAAGTTCTTGGTAAGATTTTCTATTTTTGCAGTGGCAGGTTTAGTGTGACTTTGAAATATAACTGAAAATGTATTTATTTCAATAATTACACATTTTTAAAGACATAATGTGTATTTAAGCAGTTTATTCTTGATTATTATGCCTTAAAGTTCATAAAAATACAAAATTCAGGTTCCCAGGAAAACTGTAAATATGAACTACTAATGAATCAGAAAACAGGTTTTGTCTGTGTATTGTGCATTAAATGCATTCGATATTCGATCTGCATTAGTTTTGTGTTGCAGGCAGGTGATGACCTGGAATATTCAGATTTAAAACACTTTTTGTTGAACTAATGACTGTTTCTGGTGGGAAGTTGTCGTATCCTGACCGTTCTGGATCCTTCCGGCTCCGCTTTCTGTCCTTTAAGGTTTTGTTTTTTCTGGTGCGTTACCTATTCTCTCCAGTTGGGGGAGCTGCCGTTTCTAGAGCTGGATTAGAAATGTTTTGAATTTTTCCACTGGTGTTTTGATGGTTTTATCTTTGCGAGTAAACTCCCAACTCTTGAAGGTTAGAGAGCCTCTTTACCATCACCCTAATCTTTAGATTCTCTGTCAGATCCAGACTGCGGCGCCTAATTATTAAACTGCCTTCTCATTAATTTATAATCTGTACTTTAATGCTTACTTCCAACAACATGTCCATGTGAAAAATATTGTTTTGCTATAATCTGACACCAAGCATCTCTCCTTTTCAACAGTTATTCAAATGTTTCACATTGTCTCTGTCAGAAATAAATGATTGTATTGTAGTTATTTGATAAATATGTAATATGTAACTTTAAAAAAAAAACTATTTTTATCGAATCTGCAATATGAGATAATCTGTGATAAAAAAATCTAACTGGTCTGCCTTGTCAATCACAATCACTACACAACAGTGGTTGTTGTGGCAGAATCTGCCAGGAATCCTAATGCTAGTTAGCGTAGCCACTGATGATGGTGGAGAAACAGTTTTTCAGGAACTGTTGAGCTGTTTCTGAGCCGTCAGCACGTTTAGTAGAGTGTACTCAGACTTGATTGACAGCTAGGGCACTCCTGGCTGTGATTGGCTGATTTTCATCAGAAGCCGTGGATTTCTTCTAAAGGAGCTCAGGGAAGAGATGGAGAACATTTTTTTCACAGATTATGTGTTTCATAATTACAGCAACATGGTGACACATTTAACAAAAATATATATGTGAAACATTTTATTTTATTAAAGTTTCATAGCTCTTAGGTGTGTTAAAGCAGAGACACTGGCACTTGAAGGCTAAAGTTTGTCAACTGATTTCAAGCCTGATTTTCTTTTAGCTCGTCTATTTTTGTTTTCTTTCTTGTCCCTTAGCTTCAAGCTCTAAATCTGAATGATTATTGATTATTTTCAGGTGGTTCTGGTCTTTTCTGAAAAAACATTTCTCCTTTTTTCATAAAGGTTCCCACAGTGGACGACATGTCGAGTGGGTCTTACGTCAAGATGCAGTGGGCCGCTGTGAGAACCCACTGGCTGTTGATGAGCGTCCCTCCACACACGTGGCTCGACCTCCGGTGGATGCTGACCTGCCAAGGCCACGACCCGGCAGTCGCGCCACCACCGCCCACGATCTTCGTGTTTAGAGGTGCCACTCCACAGCCTGACAAAGCAAGCAGATAATAATTATATATACAGGAGTATAGTAACAGTAACAATCACTGGAGTAATTTTCATTATTTAAAACTTTAAAGAGTTGAGAAAAGCGCCATTGCACTCACCCTGAGCTTTCAGGCCTGCAGGAAAAGAAAATGTAGAGATTAATAGCAGGTTGGTGTTCGCAGTGAGTCACAGCGGCCACACGAGGGCGCTGCCGTTGGCGCTTTCCTTCACATCACAGTGAACTTTGAACTGAGCTTTGTCATGGTTTATTTTTAGAACCTAATTCGCTGTTATAAACATTACTGCTGTCATAATATTGTTTCCTATCGGTGCTACCATGAATTTAAACAGATAAAATTAAGCTTATATTTCCTTGGTCAATTCATATGTGTTAAAACAACAATAACCTGATAAATAAACACACTGCAAAAACATCAAGTCTTACCAAGTATTTTTGTTTAGTTTCCAGTGCAAGTAACTTGAGATAAGAAAACTAACTGACAAATATTTTTTTTCATAATATAAAATTCATATGATGTAGGAAAAATGTCTTGTTATAAATGAAGCAATCTGCTAGTATTAGAACTTTTTCATCAATATTAATTAATCATTTACATAAAACAAGCTCCTGTTTCTTGCTGAGATGTTACTTGTGAGTTAGTTTTGTCTTACTTTAAGTCTACTTGAAACTAGGCAAAAATAGTTGGTCATTTTTTAATTTGACATTGCATTTTGATATAAAATGTCATAATTTTAAATTTTACAGCTACAGTTTAACAGAAAAAATACTTTTTTGAATTGCAGTTGAATTTAAATGGATCACACAATAAAGAAACACTAAAAATCAGTTTATGTATTTTATATTAATCTGTTTGCCACAGAACACACGAGGAGGGTAAATATAATTAGTAATTAATCCTACCTCGGCCAGAGAGGACCGTACACATCAGCAGCATCCACAGAGTTGAAGCCGCCACCATGTTGTTTGCTCTAAAACTTCCTGCTTTCTGTCCACACAAACTGCTATGAAAGCTTTTTACGTGTACAGTAATAAAGCAAGAAAAACACTCCCTTCCCAAACCTGTTTCTCTTCATACCAGTAACCTCCAACACATCGTGTTTGCATTCATCCAAAGCCTGGAAACCAGGTGTACAGTTAATTATTGAGCTGTCATGAAGTGTTTGACGTTTTGTGGCTTTCTATTCATCTCTTATCAAAGCAGCCCAACCTGTTCTTTCCTAGCATCTCTGGTAAAGATGTGTGTGTGTGTGTGTGTGTGTGTGTGTGTGTGTGTGTGTGTGTGTGTGTGTGTGTGTGTGTGTGTGTGTGTGCGTGTGTGTGTGTGTGTGTGTGTGTGTGTGTGTGTGTGTGTGTGTGTGTTTATCATCATTGTAATCTGACCACAGAAACACTTCTATTAGTCAACAGGCATTTGGTTTTATGCCATTTCTAGACATTCACCCAGGCCTGCAGTCCAGGTGAGATAACGCAGATTTCCAACAGGTGATGCTATGGATGACGTCAATATGGCAGCTGATAACGATACTAAATGATACTAAATACAAAATGTTACCAATTAATTTAGGTTTAGCTTCTCGTGGAGATATCTTAGTACTTAAAATTAGACAAAACTAACTGAGGTACCTTTAATAGCATATTTTCAACTTTTCAAACTCAGAAAATTCCAAATTTCTTCTCCAAAGTTTGAGATTAATCTCAAAATTTCTGAGTATTTTAGGGGGACATTTACTCCTCTCTTTTTTTCCGTGGCCCAAACAATCCGTCATAGAAAGGTTTACCTAATAGGTTGTTTTTCTGTTAGATTCCTATCTTCTTCAGGATTGGATAAAAGTGGAGCAAGAGATCGATTGGCGGATTTGTTCGGCGTCTCGATTTACCTACATTAAACCATCACCTTCGGTCCGAACTCTGGGCAGCGAAAGAAATGAGAAACGAAAGGATGTTTGGATGGATTGCTCTACTGTGATGTCCAACCTCTTCAAAATAGTTTTTATTTGAAAGCAAAAGCAAAATTAAACTGTTTGTCCAAAGTTGCACCATCACCATGATATTTTTTCAGTTATTTACTTTCCTGTCTGGCAAAACCTTGAATCCGTCTGCATGGAAAATAATGTCATATGTTAAAGATTTTGTTGATGTTCTTACCAAACCGAAGTAGAAACATAAAACGCAGAAAGGTCAAAGTTCTCCTCTCCTGTTATTTGTCTTTCTAAATGTTCACACTGAAAGCAATCGGTGTCAAAGGAGAAAATCTTCCATTAAGTAAGTGTCCAAACACAGAATGCAAACAAGTCAAAAGAACAAACATTAGTCACTTTTTACAGTGTTTGTTTCATCAGGTACGCTGTGTTATGTGTTACTATTTGACTATTAAACATAATCAAATATTGAATAAATATGAACTGAGTAAATAATTGATTTGATCAAATTGTGATTTGAAGACAGCTGCTCAGACCAGCAGCAGTCCGGATCCGTTAAAACAAGACGAGACTTTACAGAACCAGTCTGCACTGCAAAAACACAAAGTATTACCAGCCGAATTCATCCAGTTTTCAGTGCAGAGATCTTGGCACAAAACTAATTCACATGTTACTTTTAGCAAGATACAGAGGAGCTTGTTTTAAGTTGATAATTCCTTAATGTTGATGAAATATGAGTTCAGCTGGCAAGTTATTTCACTTTTAACTTGGGAAAAATGTCTTGATCTAAGATTGACAAAAAAAAAAAAAGAAAACAAGGAGAAAACAGAAATTTTGAATCCCAAAAATAAAAACTCAAATATTTGAGATTAATCTCAAACGTATTGTAGGAAAATAACCTGGACATTTCAGGTTTTTTCTAGAAAATATGAGTTTAACCTAAAAAGATTTTCTTGCCAATTTGGGGCTCAAAACGACTCAATACCCAAACGACTGGGTTTCAGTGTAAAAGTTTTCCTCGTTTTTTTCCTTTTTCTATCTACGGTGGCCCTGATAGTTTCAATATCCAAAGTGAAACCAGATAAACGTCTCATTAAGTGGGTGAATTTCCTCCGTTAACCCTGCAGGAGCTCATCGCGGCCGGGACCAAACTCTGTGAAGGAGAACAGAACCTCCTTTTCTCTCCTAAATGTAACTTTTTACTCTCTCAGAAAGGCGCTGTGGTGTCGGCTGAGTGTTTGCCCACACCAGCTCAGTGGGGATTACTCTCCGTTTGTTCACGGCAACGCTGCACCAATGTCAAGCAGCCCCCCAGAAAACCTTGGACTCCGGCCCGTGTGAATTTTAAGTGACCCGTTTCCTCCACTTGTGTTTCCCAACACATCTTTCCGCTCTTTCCTCCTTTATTTGAAGGAACGTTCACATATCAAAGAGCCTCCTTTCACTCTCTGTGAGGCCCAGGAACAATATTTCTTGTTCCTTCGGGACGATCCCGCCCACTGTCACCTCGGACCTCTATATATGCAGAAGCCTGCAGAACGGACCTGTTGATAAGAACCTGGAGTGAAGACAAGCCCGACCATGCGGTGTAAAGTCCTCGTCTTCGTTGTGCTCCTGGCTCTTGTAAAGCCTGGTGAGTATTGTGTGTTGTAGCACTCACAGGCCTGCATGGATAATCCTGCGCTTAATCTGCGGGTTTCCAGTTCAAACTGGACGTTTGTAAGAGTTTAACAGAGTTTTACTTCCTGTTTTCACTCTCAGAGAGAATTGATGCTTTGGAATATTGTGATCATGCAACATTAAAGTGGTTCATATTCAAGCATAATGATAATAAAGTAGAAAAATTTAGATTTATTTGTTAAAATTATATTAATTTAATGCATACACTGCAAAATCACCAAATCTTACCAAGTATTATTGGCCTATTTTCTAGTCCAAATATTTTAATGCTCTTCAAATAAGACAAACTAACTTAAAAGTAGCTTTTGTTTTAAGTCAATAATTTCTTAATATCGATGATAAATTACTAGTTTTATTGGCAGAATATTTCACTGATAACAATTTTCCCATGTTGTAAGTTAATTTATCTGCCAAATCAAATCATTTTTTCTGACACATTTCAGCAACAATTTAGTTCAAAGTTTTTTACGTCATAAGAACACAAAAATCAACAAATCAACCATCACTTTTTCATCAATATTAAGCAATTATTTACTTAACACAAACCTCTATATCTTGCTGAAAAATTACTTTTCTGACAGTTTGTCTTATTTTAAGTGAACTAAAATATTTGCTCTAGAAACTAGACCAAAGTTACTTGCTATAGGTTTGTGTTTTTGCAGTGTATCAGCACTGACATTGCAGTTTTTGCAACAAGTACTGCCATTATTTATTTCTTTATGAGTTGATTCTGACAAGGAAGTGGGAAAAATTACAAAAAAGCATAAAAAGAATCAAAATAAGGCACCGTAACAATGTTTTATAGGACTTTATGTTACTTTTTATCCACATGTTCCCTGGTGAAACAGGATGTCTGCTGTGTTTTTATGAAATGATTGTCTCCTGTCGCCGTCTCTTCCTGCTGCAGGATGAGTAGAACTTTAAAAACTGAATTATTTCAATAAAAATATAGTTTTTTAAAAATCATCTTCACTAAAATAGAACAATATAACTGCTGTTATTGGAAATCCTAGCAACGGTGTGCAAAATAAACAGTGACTTTCTTTAGCTGAAACAAAAATTAATAAAAATACAAGTTTTAATCTGACAAAAGTTGTTCAACAAAAAAATATCCTACATGAAGAAATAATTAAAAATTTTAAAAATTCAAAATGAGACCAGATGAAGACCCAACTTTATCCTGCACTGCAAAAAATATAAATCTTAACAAGTATTTTAGTCTAGTTTCTAGTTCAGATACATTATTACAGCAGTAATTTTCCTTGAAGAACAAAAGGCTTTTCTGTCCTACCATCACAAACATTAACATATAGAGTTTTTTGCAGAATACTACTTGGACTTTAACTAGGTCAAATGCCTGGGGTCACTAGGTAACGGGTCCCACTGGAACGAGAACTTTTTCCATCGATATTAAGGAGTTATTTACTTTAATCAGTTTTGATAAAAAGGTTTCCGGTAAGTTACTTTGGCCTTATTTCACGTCTAAGATATTTACACTGCAATCTAGAACAAAACTACTTCATAAGATTTTGTGTTTTTGCAGTGTGCCATTTTAAAAAAAAAAGTGATTCTCCAGACGGAAATATTACCAACTATTTCTGATCTGGTTTCTACGGTAAATAGAAACTAGAGGGTATTAAATATCTCAGTGAAATAAGACCAAACTAACTTACAAGTAACTTTTCAGCAAGAAAATAAGAGCTTATTTTAACTCAAAAATTCCTTATAGTGATGAAAAAGTTCTAGTTCCACTTGCAGATTATTTCACTTCTAAGATGAGGAAATATCTTGCAGTAGGTAAAGTAATCTGTAAGTGGAACTCCTACATTTTCATGAAGCTTTATTGACTGAAGCTAAAAAAGTTCCCAGTTGTGCCTCAGTGTGGAAAATAACTTTTTCAACATGACTGATTGCAGCAGTCATGTTCTACTTCACCTTATTTGCACTTATAAGCAACAAAAGGCATCATTCAGTCACTCTGCTGGAGGAGAAACATAAACACTTCAGTGTGGAAGGTTTGTGTAACTTGGTGTCGTATCTGCATGCAAGTATTATGCAGGTTACTAATTAAGCTGATTAGACGACTTTATATTTTCACCGATTCATTGAAAGTGGGTTTTACTGCGATTACTGATTTACCTTTAGAGAGGAAAAGAATGAAACTAAAACACTAGAGTCTGGAATCGAGCAATAAATAAAATAAAAACCAGCCTCTTTGTGTAAAGTCCAGGTTCCAACACTGATTTGATTTAAAAAGTGTTTGTTTAAATTTGATGTTGCTTTCAAATGCACACAGGATTTTTCATTCCAGGAAGAAAATTAAATAATTTCTTGTGAGTTTTGTATTATTTTTCTTTTTCTTTTCATCATCTTAGTTTATTAT